GGGTGCTGCTCTTGCTCCGTGGGCAGCAGCAGAGAGGTGGCTGTGGGCCAGGCCACGCTTCTACTCGATGGCCTTGTCTGTTAGCTGCACTGCTGTCTGGGTATGTGTGACTTGCCTTAATGAAGGGTTACTGTGGGGCCCCCCAGTGCAAGAAGGGGAGTTAGTGGTCATGCTGGAAGAAAACCAGCCCACACGGACCCCACAAAACACAGGTCAGGATGTGAGGCCCCTCAGCCACCGAGGAGCAGCATGGTTTGGCTGGTCGACTGAGGTGCACTGGGACATCCCGGGGCATCTGCCTTGTGTCCCCAGCACCGTGAACCATGTCGCCCAGAGAGACATGTGTGGGGCAGCTGGGCATGGCGTCTGCTGCAGGAGCTGCAGGCCAGACCACAGGGATCCTGGCGCTCAGTGTGCTGGCCTGGTGTCACCACAGGGACCGGCTCACCAGGTGCACCCTCTGTGCAGGAATATTTATAAGCAGCTGGGATGAGTTGCCTTGTCCCTGGTTCTTTAACTCGAGAGGTGGGTTCACAGATGTGTCACGACTCGCCGTAGACACGACTCGCCACTTGTGGGACTGGTTTTCGATCTGCAAACCACCGCTCCGTTCCGGGGTTCGTGTGGGTCCTTATAGCACCAGAAGCTCCTGCTGACGAGCAGAGGTTGCGTCTCCCTTATTCCTGTCTCTGCAAAGTGCGTGTGTCATTCTCAATGAACGCAAACAAATGGCTGAACTCACATGTAAGCTAAGTTGCGAAAAAAAGATAACCTTGTTTTCATACACATGTGGTGCTACAGCTCCAATGAAGTAACGCTCGTTGTTACTGTTAAAATAGTATTGGCTGCTATTGTCGTCGTATTTACAGCCACCACCTGTGCATGGCAAGCCCCCTGCTGGGTGTCCGGGAGACCAAGACGCACAAGACGAGGTGTGTGTCCTTCCAGGGCTCGTGGTCTAGCGGGGGAGACCTATATATATATACAAATGATTGCAGTGGAGCTAGAGGAATTTTAATGAAGAGCTCGCGGTGTCTACCAAGGGACCAGCCTGGTGAGGACAGGCACAGACCCCCAGAGAACAAACCCCAAGAAGGGGTGTGAAGGGGCGTGAGCAAGGGGTGTGGAAGAACAGTCTAGTAGGTCTGGAGCATCCAGGAAGTTCAGCTTGACCAAGACCTACGAAGGGACCGGGGCGGCAGAGGTGATATAGGATTGGTAGGTCAGGACATGCCACACAGGGCCTCTGTAGTAGTTCCCTCGGGCTGCAAACGGGGTGCCTTCAAACAGCACAGATGGACTGTCTCACAGTCCTAGAGGCCCACATCCAAACTCAGGGCGTCAGAGGGACCGCGTGTTCGCCGCCAGCTCTCGGGGATCCTTCCCCGCCTCCTCCAGCTCGTCCTCTCTCGGCAGTCCTTGGTGATCTTGGCGTGAACACACGTCCCTCTAGTCTCTGCCTCAGTAATCAGGGCCATCGTCAGAGCACCTTCCCTCTGTGTGTGTGTCCGCCTTGGGGTCCAAAGTGTCCCGATCATATTGGATTAGGACCCACCCTATGATCTCCTTTTAACGCCATCTGCGAGGACTCTGTCTCCAAGTGAGGTCAGGTTCCAGGGCTTTGGATGCGACTCGGCTCATAGCTGCCTTAGGCGCTGGTCGAGGACATCGTACCTGTATCCACATAGGTAGTGAGATGCCAGCAAAGCAGGGTCAGGACCTCGCGTGTGCTCTGGGGTGGGGTGGGGGGCTGGCGCTGGGAGAGGAGCCGGGGGCTGGGAGAGAAGGGAGGAGAGCTGATCCAGGCAGGGCCGTGGGGGGTGCCGTAGGCACGCTCACCGCCGGGCCCTCTCCCCCAGGGCCCGCACGCCGGAGGTAGATGCCTCCAACACAGGTGCACATGCCTTGTTTTCGGAAAATTTAAATACATGTCACAAATAAGAAAAGCATTATAAAATTAAGAAGCATTATAAATTAAGAATTCTTAAAATTAAGAATTTCCAGGCAATTGGTCATTGGTTTATATGCGGTTATTTTTGCCCCATGCTTTTTTATTAGGACACATTTCAAGCAGGAGCGAAGGTAGAGAATATCACACCTGCATTCCGGTCACCCGTCCGCTAGCCCATTTTGTTTCTGTCACCCGCCCAGCCCTGTCCTACCTCGTTTGTGCCCAGCTTTGTAGGCAAGTGGTGGCACAGAAGCCAGCTTTGTCATTGGTAAGCTTTGTGACTTTGGGTCCATTTCACAAGGTCCCTGAACCTCAGTTATTTTATTGATAAAATTGGGACGACGCCTGGTGATGACCCGGTCGGCTGCTGATGAATGTCAGCTGCGCCCTCCCGAGTGTCCCTGAGACCCTCCTCCTCTCACTGGGGCCCTGACCTGCAGCTGCTCCCCAGTAAAACCGCCTTACCAACGGGCGGCCGGAGCAGGGGGCAGGGCCACTTCCTGACATCCTTGTATGAGCATTTCTTCCTAATAGTTGCATGAACTTTTGAAAAATGTTAACAAAAAGTATTTAGTGCTTTGAAGGAAGCCTCTGATAAGAAATAATAGAGAAACAGAAGAGAAGGAATAAAATGGAAATAAAAGATGAATCAGACAGAGCCACAGGGAAGAGCCTATTAAATTCAGTGAGAGGTTCCGGTTCTGCTGGCCTTGCTGGGCCTGGGGCTCTGCATTGCTGACCGGCTCCCCGCTGGTGCTGGCTGGGAGCCACTGCCCACACCTGGAGTGGCAAGGACACCGGCCAAACCAGGGCCTAAGGCCACACCTGTCTCTCTGCCTGTTTTAGTATGTTCCATGAACTAAAAATGGGCTTTTATGTTTTTAAATGGTCAAAAAGTCAAAAGAATAGTATTTGTCACACAGAAAAAGTATATGAAATTCAAATTTCATTGTCCATCAAGTTTCATCTGTACACGGACATGCCCATGCATTAATATTGTCACAAGGGCAGAGTCGAGTACTTGGGACAAGGACCCTATGGGGTGCAGAGCCTAAAATGTTTGCTATTTGACCTTTCCAGAAAGGGTGCGCACACCCCACAGAGCCGCGGCCAGGCCCAGTGTCGCGACGGCCAGCAGGGGGCAGCAGAGAGCCGTCCGGGCCGGTGTTGCGGCCCCGCCCCACCCGGACCCCAGGGTGGGGGTTTAGACGTGTGACAGAGGGGGCCTGAGCTGTTTAGGATGGAGAGATGGGCCTGCGGTAGAAATGCCTGGGGAATTAGCACGAGAGGAAGTGGGGGGAAGTGGGAGTCAGCAGACAAGGCCCAGGACAAGCAGGGAAATAAGAAGCTGTCTGTCCCGAGTTGCTGGAGCGGGAGGGCAAGGCCCGCAGGACGCGGGAAGCCGGCGGGACAGGACGGGACGGGGTGGCGGGGTGCCGGGGGTGAGCCCAGGCGGGGGTGAGGCCTAGGAACGCCGCTCGTGGCTCGGGCTTTAGGAGAAGGCCGCAGGGTTTCACCGAAGGGCTTTCGACGGTGGAGTGATAGCATCGCATCCGCATCCGCATCCGCGGGGCAGGGACCGTGACTCTGGTGGCCATGGCAACAGTCCAGGGTCCGTCGGATGAGGGGCCGACGCAGGCAGGGGCAGCGGGACGGGGCTGAGCCGCCACAGCAGCTGCGGAACAGCGGGGCCCCCGCGGGGCTCGGGACTGCTGCGCCCCGGGTTCTGCATTTCCCCCCAGGACAGGCTAAGGGAGCGGCGTGGCTGCCGTTTTAATCTTTCCCGGGTTTTTCTCCGCTTCCACAGCCAGCACGATGCAGTCAGGGCAGCTGTCTTTTTGCTTCGGGCCTGAATCTTTGCTTTCGGGTGGTGCCTGCAGATGTGGGGTTCACCATCACAAGCGGGTTCTGCCAGGTTTCACCCTCGGCCTTTTTGTTCTGTCTGGTTTTTCATGGGAGGCGGGGTGCACGGATTCCTTTTAAAATCTGCGAACACCATCACGAACCCTAGAAAAATGTGCCGGACCAGGTGGACTGAAAATTTGAGACATGGTTCCAGGGCCAGTGCCTCCCCTGAGGCCCGCCCAGCGGAGGACGCTGACCCCGGGGCTGCCTGCTCAGGGTCCAGTCGGGTGTGGGCCTTGCGGTCAGACTCCGCCCATCCTGATCGCCTTACTTCCCGGCCCTTCCTGCGTCTTAGGAGATGATGCGAATTCCTAAGTCTGTCTTTGGAACGGATTAAAACCTTCTGAAAGCAGAGATGGGAGCTGGGCAGAGCCACCACTGCCTAGCCGGGCGGGCCTGGTGGCTCTGGCCTGCGTCCGCACAGCCCTCTGGGGAAGTTCCTGGACAGGAGACTGCCTTTGGGCCTCCGGGCTGGGCTGGCTGACCTCTTCCTATGCACTGGGCCAGGAAACATTGCGTTCACAAAACTTTGAGCACATAAAGTTCTATTTTTGGGGTCTTAATACATCACAAATCCCTTTTCCTTGAAACAAAAAGAGTACTATATCAGATGCAGTCTTATTTAAGAAATTATTAGCCTCTATCGCTAGAAATAAGTAGATTACATTTTTAAAAGATTAATCTTCATAACGAGGAAAGTTTAAAGGAATATAGTCATGCAATTATGAAATGTTTCCAAGGAACAAATGGAAGCTTGGAAGCCTGAACTGAACTATTTTTCAAATTCTCCCAATTTAGAAATTCTCATCCAACGTCAACTTTTGATAAAAGCAGTCATTCCCAGCAATTATGGTCTCTTGTGCGTGTATAACAATAGCTTTAATGGAATATAATTTACATAGCATAAAATCCACCTGTTTTAAGTGTATAATTCAATGATTTTTTTTTTTTGGTAAATTTACAGTTATGCGACCCTCACCACAATTCAATTTCGGAGCATTCCTATCCCCCCAAAATGGTCTCTGCCATTTTAATCGCAGGAAGTGCTATTAGAAGAATCATCATTTTAATTTATCACTTCCTGTATTTGCATCATCTAAGCTTTACTCTTACTAATCGTGACCTCTGTCAATATTTCTTCCAGGCAGACACGAGACAGCTGGAACAAAGCTCTTGCAATCTTATCAGAGTTTGAGGTGAGTTATGGAAGGGCACGCCGTCCTGTGCCCTCCAGCCCCGAAACACGGAGGACCCACAGAAAGGCGTCCTGGGTCTCCTGACTTTCAGAGGTCACTGCCTGGGAATGTAACTTTTTTTTTTTTTTTAAATGATAAAGTGCCTAGAAAAGATCCAAAAAGAGATGTTTCCAAACTCTTATGCAAAGCCTTCTGGGAGCTAGCATAGTATTTTCTCACTAAACGTTTTATTTCGTTTCTTAAATTCTCTTGAAATTTCATAAGGAAACAAAATATTATTTTGGGGCTCACGTTAAATGGGATTCTTAACCAAGCGTTTGGCTTTTATGAATCGTTCCTGTCTCCAGGACCTCGCCCACCTCCTGACACTTCAGAGACATTGGCGGACTTGACTAAATGGCCTGAGCGATGCCAACGTCTTTACACAAAATTCTGAACACCTGGCAGTCTTGGCGCTGGCAGGAAGGCACACACCTGACTGCACTGAATTCATTAAAATGTTACCGAAAGCTCCCTGTCAGCAGCTATGTTTTTTTTAGTCTATGGTGAGATTTTCCAATCTCAGGACTTCTTCATTTTTTTACTCCCTCATTTTCTTCGCCACTTCTTCTAGCACGAGCTCCTAATTCCTCTCACGGTCGAATTTACATCCACGGCATTTTCGGCACTTCTGCCGATGCGTTTTCCACTGAGAGAACACGCAAGTCCATGTGGGGCACGGGCGTGGTGTCGGGTCCCAGAGCCTGGCCGGGCCCTGAGGCTGCCGGCTGCTGGGGGACACCCGGATGGGGTGCGTGGCCCAGCCCAGACTGCACGCTGCTCAGTGCCCACACTCAGACACCGGGGATGGATGCCCTGAGCAGAGCAGCAGGCCCGAGCAGGGCTGCTGGACCCTCTGCCCAAAAGCGAAGAAGTAACAAAAAAGATAAAGAAAGAAAGCAAAGGAAGAGAACTTGAATGTAGGATGACGATGAATCCAATGTGTTTCTAAGACTAATACTTGCCTAGTTCATAAGCCAGTTCTTATTCCTGTGTTTTTTCTTGGCAGCAAAATTTCCGTGGTTCCTCCCACCCCACCTCCTCTCAGTGAGAGCTGGTGCAGCGGCAGCCCTGGCAGGGTAATGAGTCTGTTTTGTGGGCTTCCCCAGGAAGGGGAGAGGGGAGAAGGAGAGGAGGGAAGGGGGTCTGAGAGGTTGGGCCGAGAACCTCTGGGCAGAACGATCCAGCTCTGGATCAGGACGGGGGGTCGGGCAGTGCTGGGTCCCGCCCGCTGTCTGTGCTGCCCGCCACCTTTCTTTGGGAGCCCCGAGCTCATCTGCTTTAACAACTGACCCACCTCCTGCCTGCACCCCACGTCCCCATCGCTTTCCTCTGGCCTTTTCATCACCTCCCTCCTCTGACCGTGCACTGCCCGTGAGTGTGGGGTTCGGATGCGTTGCAGTGTGTCTGGGGCTCTCCGTGGGTCTAATGGGAAATACGGGCTGATTCGCAGGTACGTGAGCGTGGCGGTGCCTGCGGAACTGTGTGTGGGCGTCTTCTGAGTGTTTGTAGGCGCTAGTGTAGACCAAGACCATTTTGTCCAAAGAAATGAGCTGTGTGGTTTCAGGGGAATTACCTGGGTTCCCACAGGGGAGGTAGAAGTAATTATGCGTCTGGCTTCCCTGCTGTGGCGGGTGTGAGAAATAAATGAAATAATGTCTGTGCTGGTCCCGGGGAGCTGTAAAGTGCCATGGAGACGTGTGATCTTGATCACTTTCATTATTGTTATTCTGTGAATGGAAGGGAGTAATTATACTCGTCTGTAGGAAGACACATGTCCGCTGGTGAGAGAGAGACAATACATTCTTTTTCCAACTTCGAACTGAGACCCTGGAGGGGCCTTCAAAATGCTGCTCTACTTTCTCCTTGAGATTTTAAATTCTCCAGAGCTATTTGAGCACCACTGTGCTCAACACATATTTACTGGATGGATGGACAAGCGGACGGACGGATGGATACGTGAATGGATGGATGGATGGATGGATGGATGGATGGATACGTGGATGGATGGATGGATGGTCGGATGGATGGATGGATGGATGGGTGGATGGATGGATGGATGGATGGATGGATGAATGGATGGATGGATGGATACATGGATGGATGGATGGATCCATGGATGGATGGATGGATGGATGGATGGATGGATACGTGGATGGATGGATGGATGGTCGGATGGATGGATGGATGGATGGGTGGATGGATGGATGGATGGATGGATGGATGAGACTTGCAGAGGAAGCGATCTCTCTTGTGTTGTTCTCTCTTCCTTTTCATTCTCTCCATAGCTTTGGGAGGTGGCACTAACCCTTGGCTCCAGGCTGGTCACCTTGTGCCTGTATCACCATCAGCCTCCCTGTCACATGCATTCTGCCCCTGCTGCCGTCCTCTCTGCACAGAGCGGGGGCGGGGTCGTACGAGAAGGAGGTTAAAGAAACAGTTATTTACTCGAGTACCATCTTCGAGCCGATGAAATGTCAGTCACCATTTCTGAGAGGCAGTCACACCCCTGACAAAGCCTGCCTTTAATGTGGGCGTCGAAACTCAGAGGAGAAAGCTGAGTAAAGAGGACAGCTGCCCCGTGAGAGGACAGCGTGTCTCCGCTCCGGACATGCCCGCCCACACCCCTGCACCTGCCTGCCGGTGTTTGGGGGTTGGCGGCCTGGAGGCTGCTGGGATGAACACGGCCGTCAAACGTAACTCTCGCTCTCTACTCCTGTCTCTGTTTTAGTTACAGGAACTTGGTCAGCTTAAAGGATTTAATAAGTCCGTGGAAAATTTGTTTCTGTCTGTTACCACCCACATGAAAAGTAAGTGGATGTCCCTCCCTGTGTTTGTCCCCTCCCCACCCCGCCCACCTCCCAACCCAGGCTGCCGAACCCCTCTCTGTCTCCACAAAAGCCAGAGCCCCCAGCCCTTCATCTTTCCAGCCCCAGAGCAGGCCTCTGGGTCCCTGGGGACCAGGAGACACCCTTCGGTTTGCCGGGCTGGCTCCGTTTCCCGCCACTCCTGCGCAAACCCACCCCAGTCAGTGCACTGGGGCTGGCAGCTCACAGCTCGCCCTGGCACCCCTCCCAGCCCCTCCCAAGGACCAACACAGAAAACAGAATACGGCTCCAGTGACTCAAAAACCAGAACCGTTCAGGCCGGGCGGGGCCCCGTACCTGTCGTGTGTATGAAATTACTTGTCTGTTTTCCGTTTCTCCTCGGTAAATCTATTTTCTTCAGTTAGCAGTAATCTTGGGATTTGCAGATTCATGGAATCAGAAATATCGCTCTTAGAGTGTTCTTTCTGCTCAGAGATGTTTTCCTGTTTATCTGCACATGCAAGTCCCAGAGAACAGCCCCCATGTCAGGCCTCCTGGAGCCGTCCAGGCATGTGGAAAAGACCCCCGTGGGGCCAGGGTCTCGGGCGTCGTCTGTCACTGCTCCCATTCATCATCCCTTCCTCTGCAACTGCATGCGGGAGGCCTCAGTGTTGTATCTGGAACAACCTTGCCATTTGATTTTAATTAGTCCTCTGTGGTCCCCACTAGCTCTTCGAAGCTGTCACATGAAGACAATCAAAGTCAAAGCTGCTTTTCAGATAAGCAGAGAGGTGACTGCGCCATGTGACAGTCTGTCCTCCTCTTCTTCAGAAGGAGGGAGCAGCTGAATTTCTTGGCCCGTTTGCTAATAGAGCTTGGAGGTTTAAAATCACTCCTGTCACTCAGCTGGGCTCTGGGATGACACCTATCCTCTGTGGGCATCAGCCTGGGACACAGACTGTAGCAGCCGCCTGCTCTCTGAGCAGCTGGCTCTTCTCCCGCTGACACCAGTGGGAACCTTCTCCTTGGCTCTGTGTAGACACACGGCCTCTTGTGTGATTAACTCCCAACAATGCCGTTCTGGATCACACCTCAGCGTTAACTCTGACCTCGCCATCCCTCAGTCAGGACCCCAGAGAGGCAGGACGCGAGTTTCATCTCTTCTCACGGCTGAAACCCCCCAGCCTGCGTCCCCACTGCCGCTTGTCCAAGTCTGGATACTTCACAGGACACAGAACCCTCAGCCCAGAGGCAGGGCTGGAAAAACCCTACTTTCTGGGCCCCTGGAAGCAACTGTCAGCTCAAGACCTTCCCTGGTGCTTCCCGCTAGTGCCTTGGGGCTGGCAAGTGACCGCACACACCCTGCATCCTGACTCAGCACCTGGCGGGGGCTGGTCATGTCTCTTCAGGTCTTGAGCCATTTTGCACGTGTCTCTCTTGATGTTTTGGGCCACCTGTTTCTTACAGAAGTGGGCGGGAGGACAGCCTCATGCTGGTGACGCCTGGGGTCTGTAGGGAATGGCAGTTTCAGAAGCTGCCCCAGAACTATGACCTCTGGTGTTGCTCAGTGAGGATAGTCCAGCCGGAAGGAGTGAGTTAATCCAGCCCTTTTTATTATTGCTGCTTTTCGGGGAGATGTCGGCACAGCAGCCCCCTTGGGAGGGTGGGGGGTGAGGACCATCAATTCTCACTTCAGGACCATCCTGTGCTTCTCTCTGTTCTTTTCCTTTTCAACCGATAATCGCGATTATAAGCCTCCTGGTTAGAACCTGAATAGCTTGGGGAGGCTGCCTCCAGCCCACCCCAGTCTGTGAACATAAATTCATCAGGTGAAGGCACAGCTCTGGGGTGAGTGACGCCTGGGGGACATCTCCTGGGGCCTGTCACACTTCTTGAAGCCCAGGCTGGGGTTTGGCTGTATGAGGAGTTCATGGATATTGTGGACTTTGAGGGCCTCGGGGGTGCTAGAACCTTTCCAGCTGCTGGGTGTAGAAAGGTGCCCCCAAAGTTTCTGGGTGGTAGCCTTGAGAGTGCGGATGGCACTGCCGTCAGAGAGGAGAGGCCCCACACGTCCTGGTAGGGAGGGCAAACACCCCGGGACTTCGGGGGCATGGGCTGGACCTCCTCTAGATTGGGGTTCCCAACCCCTGGGCCTTAGACCGGTACTGGTCCATGGCCTGTCAGGAACCGGGCCGCACAGCAGGAGGTGAGCAGAGGGCTAGTGAGCGAAGCTTCATCTGTGTTTGCAGCCGGTCCCCAGAGCCATCATCACCGCCTCAGCTCCGCCTCACATCATCAGGCATTAGATGCTCACAGGAGCACTGGTCCCTGGTGCCACAAAGGTTGGGGACCGCTGCCCTAGATGATGTGTGGCCTGCCCCGCGTGGTGTGTGCAGGACACCTAATAACTAGCAAAGAATAAGGGTTCTCACAGGAATATCTCAAGGGAGGGATCAGAAGACAGAGGGGTGCTCTGGGATCGTGGTAGCCCCCCCAACCACAAATGGCTCGTGAAATGTGGCGGGCCAGAAGTAAGAGTAAAATACACACCAGATTCTGGAAACTTAGTGTTAAAAAATAAGTTAAAATTTTTATTAATAATTTCAATATCAAATATGTATTTTAGCAATATTTTGGACATAGTTCATTAAATGATATATAGTATTAAACTTAATTTAGCTTTTCTTTTTATTTTTTTAAATGTGCCTACTCGAAAATGTGAAATGACATGAGCCGCATTATGTCTCTATTGGACAGTGCTGCTCTAAAGACGGTTTCAAGGTCGTCATTTGAGAGTGACAAGGCCCTTGTGAAAAGAGACAGAATTTGGGGGGAACGACGTCACCTTCGAGGTGGTTCTCACTGCTGTGTATGGGTTCCTTCTCACTTGATTCATCTTTGTTCTAGACCACGGTCATACTGCAAAACCAACACGATTTAAAGTCATCTTTTCAGGTTTTGTTTACCGAAATAGTTATAAGGAGACTTCTCTTTGAAGAGTCACAAGAAGTGGTATTTAGTTATAAAATCTGTGTAAAGAGCCCCTGAGAGCCAGTTGGTTTGTTAGGCCACCTTCTCTGTGTTTGACAATGGTGCATCATGGTGTGGGGCCGATAAGGCAGAGCAGCCCCGGCCAGGAGGTGTCTCTGGAACTCCTGCCCTGACGGTGGCTGTCAGCCTGCAGAGCCGAGTGGCCACACAGTCACTTTTTGGAATCCAGCTCTCCTGCCTGCCCAGTGGGTCCCCCTCCCGGCACGCAGCATCTGGGGGCTCCCTGGTGCATCTGTGCTCCCCTGGGGCCTGGAGCTTGGCGCCGGACACGTGCTATCCTCCACCCTCCATAAACTCGCCCTCATGGGACCCTGGGCCGCTCCTCATGGGCTGCGGGAGTCCCCAAGGAGGGCTTCCGGAGGTCTCGGCAAAGCTGTGGGTGCCCACCTGTCATTCCTTGTATTTGTTTTCTAGAACTCTCCAAGTCCCAGAATGACATGACCTCTGACAAGCAACTCCCAAGCAGGGACGCCAGGCAGCGTGTGAGCCAGACGGAGAGAAGGAGCCAGTCTGACACTGCCATCAACGTCACCACCAGGGTATTCCCCGAGGCCACCAGGCCGCCACAGGATTACTTCCCAGCCCATTTCCTCTAGAGATTTATTTTCCCTTTCATTTTATAACAAAGCATTAAGTGGTCTGAAAAAACATAATTATAAACGCCTCTCTGCGGAGGCTGGCGACTGGAAGGCCCAAATTCAAGGGCCGTTTAGAGAGCAGCTCAGAGCTGTCCAGCCTGATCCCGAGCCCCTTGGGCTCGCACGGGTCCACCAGAGATGCCTGCTGGTTCAAGGCCACGCCCAAGGCAGAGGCCTCACCTGCAGAGCCGAGAACGCCCAGTCGTTCCTGGGGTCCGCAGATGCCCTCGCTGAGGGGCCAGAGGCACCCCTGCTTCCAACGACCTCTGGCTAAAAGCTGTTCTCATCTCTGATAGAAACTACTGAAAACACATGCTACGCAATCATGCCGGTCATGACCTTCTCCAGGTGTCTAAACCACAAGACAGATCTTCCCTTAAGGGCTTTTAAGGGAAGGAATTACTCTGGCCCTTCACTAGGATTAACCAAACCTGAAGCAGATGAACTGGGGCCTGAGAGAAAGACAACTTTAGGATCAGAAAAACCTAGGTTCTAATCTAGCTCAGGTGACCTGGCTATGGCAAGGGACACCAGCTGGCTGTTTACAGAGTTGATACAACTGCTCTGATTGGCTGGACAGGACAGGTGCCCCTTTGCTGCAACTGTGACTCCATCCAAGATGTCCCCAGACAGACTGCGCTTTAGGCAAAGGGATGAGGTTAGCCTCACACTCCTGCCGGGTTTCAAATCCTGCCTCCATCCGTTCCCCTCCACCTGAGCAGGTCCCGTGAACTCCCGAGTCTCAGTAGGCCCCCTATGAAATGAAGATCATAATACCTGTTCTGACATGGGACAGGATTCCTGTAAAGATCCCTTGAGAAAAGTGTTATCTAAATTGCTAAGTTATCTAAACGTACAATCTGAATTGCCAGAGTTTCTTCTGCGCCAGACTCTGTACTAAAAGCTTTACCTGGACTATCTGTGTTAACCTCATGTCACCCCATGAGGTAGGTGATGCATTTGGCCCCAAGTTACATTTAGGGAAACTGAGGCTTAGAGAGATTACATCACATGCCCCCGGTTACATGGCAAGAAAATGGCGGGCAGCCTTGGCTTGGAGGCTACACTCTGGAACAGCGATTCTCAGTGTCGATGTGTACGTGAGTCTCGGGGAATGTTGGAATGCAGAGGCCCAGTCAGAGGGTCCGGGTCTGGGCGTCAGACGCAGTCTCAGATGCATTTCAAAGGAGCTCTCAGCGAGCAGGTGACCCGCTGGCCCTTAGGAGCAGGTTCTAGAGTGCGTGCAATCTATTTGCAAGGCCTTTGAAACTTCGATGTGCAGATAAGCGTTACTTCCCATCGTTTCCCATGGGTCCCGTAAACACCATCCCAGCTGCGGCCCCCGCGGCAACAGGTGGGGGAGGGATAGTGGCATTGAGGAAGCACCGTGTTCCTGAGAAAGATACTGTTGCTCCCATGATAGAGACCTAGAACCGGGTGTTAGAGAGAGGTTAACCGACTTGTCTGACGTCTCGCGGCTCATCAAAGGTGGAGCGGGGAGCAGAGCCCAGTCTGAATTGTTGGTTCGAAACTCTTAATCTCTTCAGTATGTGCCCCACATAAGGAGGACAAATGAGGGCCACTAAAGAAAAGAGTTCAGGAAGGTGATTCTGGAAGCACAAAGAATTGTCTTCCCGCCTGGGTGGGACGAAGCCTCTCTCATAACACTGACTCAGGCTTAAGGGCATACCAGGCCCTGTTTCCGGGGTAAACCCCTGATAGGTGTTTAACTTTTAAAATCCTTAAAATAGCCCCGTGAGTTCTGTGCTATCACTGTCCCGTAAGGAGGGGACACAGGGACAAAGGGAGGACCAAGGGGGTGATTTGGTAGGCAGTGGCAGGGCCAGGTAGAGCCTCTGCGGGGACGAACCTGCATTGCCGGCTAGGAGAGGTGCCAGCGAAGTTTGTAAACCCCCACGATTCCTGCTTCTGACGCCGTGTGCCATGTGATGGGACACCCCAAGCATCCGCGGGCTTAGCTTCTGGCTTTTGGAAGCTGACATAACGTGGCATCTGGGGCATTCGCCCTTCCTGCTGCACACGCACCCGCAACGACCCTGTCTGATCGTCTGATGGGACAAAGGAACTCAAAGGTGGACGTGAGGAGGAGCAGGAGAGGCCGTGGCGACAGAGTCCCCATCACGTAGACACCGTCCTGTGTGTGCCCGCTGCTCTGCTCGGCAGGACGTGCTTACCATTCCTGCAGGCACCCTCTCTCCCCACTTCACTGCCGGATCTGTCCTTTTTTTTTTTTTCAATTTTGTTTCAAGTAAGGCTCTGGCCATTTTAAGGAGCCATTTAGGCAATGTTTATAAAGTCCTCAGCAATCCTGGTATGAATTGGAAATGCTAAGTCATTATTGGGTTGAAATACAAAGAGTCCATCTTTAAATAGGACGTTCGTCAGGCTGCAGTGACACCCGCCTCGGCCGGTGAGCTCACAAAAGTTACCCTCACACTTCGTCAGAACCCAGGGGGCTTCTGGCTGACGTTAAGCACACGCCGAGGTGCATCCCAGAAGCAGCGGGTGTCGGGACCCACTGTGCAGGTGGCTACACGGAGGCACAGAAAGAGTAGATAACTTTCTTAAAGCCACACGGTGACTCTGGAGTGTGAACTCAGAGAACAGCTCAGAGTCGCTTGCATGTCACTTAAGTCTGGAATACATGTTCTGAATGTGCTCTTCTAAAGACCCTCACTTGAGCAGCTGGATTCTTTAGGCAGTGAATTTTCATACTTCTCCTTTGAGATTTCATATGTATTCTGGTGGGATTTTACTATACGTCTTACTGGTGTGCGGTCGATCTATATTGGCCATGAAAACATATACCCGTTAACCAGGGAGGAACATCAAAAGCTATTGCGTAGGGACTGTTTCTGAGGGGATAGACCGAGGACAGAGGTGGAGAAGAAGACTTTATTTCATTCTATGCCCTCTTGTGTGATGTGACATTTTTTCCTGGACCCCTGAGGTCTACAGAAACAGCCCACCAGGACCTGTCGCTTCTGCATGCCTCCTTCCCCATCCACTGGCCACATCTCCTTCCCCACCTGCCGGCCACGCCTCAGAGGCTGAGCGGCAGCACTGGGTTGCAACCATGAAAACACCTGGTTGTCCTGGTCTTCAGATTTAAGGGCGGTCGATCCTTCCATTGGTCCCAGGTCACTCTGTCTGCTTTTCAGCTGGGATTCACCATTGCTCAGAGCATGCGTTATCGGCCGCGCCCAGCCTGCGTGTTTTTCTGATACTTGTGGATGTTTATGTCACAAGGCAACACTCAGGTGCAGTCTCGGAGGCGACAGTGGTGGCTCTTCCTCCTCTTAGCTAAGATCAGCAAAAATCCCAAACACACGTATTGCACGGTTCCATAATTTGATCAAACCGAACCTAATGTTTATTGATCTTTCAGTACGTGATAGGAAACTTAACTCTTTTGCAGAGTAGGCCTCGTTTTCTCTATTTCAAATGAGATAGTTCTTGAAATACCTTAAAAATTACAGGAGGAAAAATGCCCGTCTCAATGACGTCGACAAGCTGCTATTTGGATCTAGATGCCCTTGAATAAGGACTGACAAAGTCATCCAAGTCCTTCAGAATTTACTGGGGAAGAGGTGACGCAAAATTTCAAGTTGGATCCCTTAGTCAATCAAAATAGGCATGTTCCTCAGAAATGGCTGAACTTTGTAATAATTTAAAGTATTTATATTTGCATTTAAGCTTTATGAAAGGTTTTCTAGAATCCTAATGAATTCAGAAGCATCGCCTTCCCTGGCTTTGAATTTGACCTGCCACGTGACCACTATTGTATGCTTCTCTTATTCAGAAGCTTCCATTTCTTTTATGATTCAGAAACTATGTCGCCTTAAAGAAGACCGAGTTAAATGGTTATGTATTGAACATCTAGGAGGTACAGAGCTTCATATGGATAGTTAGCTCCATCTTATTCTTTCTGTCGTGGTCTAAGGAGCATGCCTGAGGCTGACCTGGGGACGGCCACCTGGAGTACACAAGTCCACTCATTTTACAACAGGGGCACCCTGTCGCACACCCGCTTTTGTAATTTGCTTTTAAAGGGAAATCTAACATTATGTTTTAATTCTTTCCATGTCAATGAGTACGTTTTGTCATTTTCGACCGCTGCTTTTTAGGGCTTTTAATGCAGGCTGCCAAATTGCCCTCCACCGAGGATGACTTGGTTTACACAATCACTACACGTAGGGAAGCCCGTTTGCCAGCACTGCCGCCAACACTAAACTCTACACTTTTTATTTTAATGTTTGCTAATTTGATAGGCAATTAAAAATTTTGCCTTTCTTTCATTTCGGGTGAGCCTCTTCTCATCTTTTCTCCTCTTTGAACATCCTTCATTCTCGAAGTCCTCCTCTTGGACCCCGAGCTCTTCTGGCCCTCTGTCCCCTCCCTGCGCCCACCCCTCAGTGTCTCCGAGCGACCTCACGTGTCGCTGTGTGTGCGCGATCTCGGGTCAGGGTCCTGCTTGGTCTCTAGCAGGTTTGAGAGCATGCTGCGAACTTGACCGCCGTGGCAGCCATCCCGCTCAGGTGCCTTACCTTTGGATCTTTCCTCAGCCAGCCTTTAATACCTCGCCCAGGTCACACTCCCACTGCGGACCACCCCGGAGGCCCCCTCTGCATGAACTCGCCCCCTCTTCTTCATTCCCACAGACTTGGCTCGTGCCTCCATTTTAATTGCGCGTCCATTTCCCACCAACAGGGCACCTTGGAGAACAGGCTGTGCGTATTCTCCCCCCTCTCCACCCCCTCTCTCCTCCCCCAGCACTTAGAGTGGATAGAGTGTTGCTTGACACATGTTTGATGGGAATGAGTCCGCATTCTGGGGGTTGAGGGCAAAAACAAGAATTGGGAGGTAATCATTATTTTCATCTGTTCCCTAAAATTCCCGCTTAGTTTTTTATTCTTGAAAATGATGACGGTGGTGCAACTGTTGTATTTCCAAGTTCTACTTCCAAACCGGTATCCAAAAAAAAAAAAAGAAAAAGTCTTGATTCAGAAACTTTGTATTTTCAGCTAGGAAGAGATGCGAGCACTGCCCGATAGAACTTTCTAGCCATGGCCACATGTGGCTACTGAGCACTGAAAGGGTGTCTAGTGTAAGCAAGGAGATGAATTTATTACTTTTATTTTATTTCAATTATTTGGAACTCGAATTTAAGTAGCCACATGTGACTAGCTGTTGCCGTGTTAGAAAGCTCAGCTCTATACGTCGTAGAAACACTCGCTTCTTATAAAAAATATTTTTATAAGATTTGGAGATACGTTTTGATTTTTCTCTTTTTTATGAGCACATTAGAGCTAAAACTCTGCCTATTAGATGAACGTCATATTTCATGTGATTAAATGCCAGGATCATTGTTAAGGCAAAATGTAGACTTCCATTCCTTTAAGACTTTCACTAAGCCATAAGTAACCAACGCATCACTGTGTGTAAATATCCCACGGCTTGATGCTGCTACCTTGGGGCCCCGCCGGTGTGTGTGTATGCATTGACCCGACCGAATTCGTGCCTGGAAGTTTGCATCTGGTGCCACTGGGGAATAGATGCGGGCTGTACTAGCTGAAGCCACCACATTTGAGCAAAATCGGACTGGGATGCGGACTATCTTATTAATTTTCTGTTTCCATTTCCAGAAGGTTAGCGCGCCAGACATCCTGAAGCCTCTCAGTCAAGAGAGTCCAAAACGCCTCACCCTCCCTGTTTTGAAGCAGGAAGATCTCCCACCCCGTGTAAAGCCCAGCACTTTATTCTCAGGAGGCTTGAGACAGGTGAGTCTTCTCTTGTATCCTTGACACAGGAGGTGTGGTTGTCGTCAGGGCTGGTCGACTTGGTTGTTGGGTTGGATCGGTCAGCACGAGCGGTGGTGAGTGCTGTCTGGCTGGAGGAACCGGAGCGTGACGGCAGAGCTTGGAGGTTAAATAGTTTACTTAGATTGGGACCCGGGAAAACCTCACTCTGCTTTGATGATGGTGGTTCTTTTTTACATCTTATTGCAAACATTTTTATATATACAGGGAGTAATTGAGAATAAATAATGATGTCTTTGGATGAGAAGGTTTTCGTTCTGATGAAGTTTAATTTATCACATTTTTATGGTTCTGTCTCTGTCTTGGCTACTTAGAAGTCACGAACATATTCTCCTATGTTTTCTTCTAGAAGCATCATGAAAGTTTAGCTTTTACCTATAGGTCTTGATCCAGCTCATTAATTTCTGTGAATGTCGTATGGTAGATTTTCAGGTTCATTTTTTCCCTCCACATGGATACCCAGTTATTCCAGCACCATTTGTTTTTTTTTTTAAAAAAAGACAGTTATTTCTCCAGTGCCTTTGGTGTCTTTGTTATAAAAACTGTGGGTCTTTTTCTGGGTTCTCTATTCTGCTCCACGGATCCCTTTGTCTATCCTTATGCCAACAGCACGCTGTCCTGAGCTCACCCCCTGGGTTCTTTGGAACAGTATCCAAAATATTGTACCTGTGCCTCTGTGCGCTTTCCTGGGACCAGAATTGGGCCCTCAAACGCAAATATGCAGATGAAGCTCACACAAGTCCTCTGGCGTTCCCTCCCAACTCCCATGAGTGTGTCTGCCTGGCCGGGGGCACACAGCTCCGATCCCTGAGGAGGCTCAGCAGCTGCTTCTGGGACGCCCTAAGGCTGTGAGAGTCTGGAATGGTGCTGCCAGGAGATCTGGAGAGTCTGTTAGGATGGCTCAGCCCCCGCCTCCAGGACTAGGTGCGGTTTGTACTTGGGAATAGTTCAGAAAGGTCCAGTACTGAGGAAACAGTTCCCTGAGGTCCAGGCAGGCACAGATGACTCCAGAACTTTCTCTCCTATGGTCGAAGCCTATGGTGGGCTTGAGACAGGTAGTCCACAGAGAGCTGGCCTCTGGGTGGCTTTTCCAAGGCTCACTGGGAGTTATGCCTCTGCTCCAGGTGACCAAAGACCCAAGGCATCCAGTCAGCTTGAGCCTTTTTATAAGGCTGACCTCAGAGGCTACACCTTCCAAGAGCCCATGAGCCGCTTCTCCTGCTCTGCCCGGGGTCCCACTAGGCTGGACTCTAAACTCCTTCAGGCCCAGAGTCACGTCTTTGCCCAGAAATCAACACGTGGGCAGAGACTTGGGCCAAGGCATACCCCACAAATGGTCCACGGGGTCCCACATAAGCTCCTCCTCACCCCAACTGCTGCCACCGTCCCTTCTCATTCACTTATTCGACTCACTGGCCACTTGCTGGCCTGCGAACAGGTCAGACTCACGCTCGCCTTGGGGAGTTTCTGCTGCGGTTGCCTCTCCCAGGCACAAAGCTCATTCCCTCCCTTCTCTCCTATCTTTGCTCCAAGGTCACCTTCTGGGGAGGCCTGCCCCCCTCCTTGTTCTGCACTCCCACTGCCCTTACTTGCTCCGTGTTTATTCTTATTCTTATCGCACAGTTATACAAGTGGCTTATCTGTTGTTTATTGTCTATTGTAATTTCCAAGCACACAGAGCAATGCCTGATACTTAAACAGCACTCAGTAAATATTGGTGGAAAGATTGGATTAGTCCTTGTCATCACTAGCATTTCTTGAAAGCCTACTACGTACTAACTCCCGAGCCAGGTGCTTCACCTCTCAGCCCTTCTCAGTGACCTTGTCGGTGGATGCTGTTATCCCATTTCACAAATGGGAAAACTGAGGTTCACCGAGGGTAAACCTGATTCAACCCTCAGGGCACCGTGTGAGCCAACGAAGCCCAAGCTTTTTGAACTATCCCACGGGACTGGTTGACCTCTTAAACTGAGTGGTTTTCTTCACTCCACCCCCTGGTCCAGCTTCACTCGGGGTTGATCCCCACCTAGAAAACCTTTCCGAGTCAGGGGGAATGGTGTTAGGGTTGGGGGATGCAGGCGAGTGTATTTATCTCACTCAGACCATTTTTTAAGATAGTTCTTCCAAACCACAGTGCGGATTCAAGAAGACACCATTCTCCCTTTCTTCTAAAGTCTTCTCTGAGTTGTGTTCTCAACATTGATCATCAAGAGACTGAATTATTGTGCGTTTAATCCTAACCTTTTCCCCTCAGACCGAAGCAGTGTTTGTTTGAGGAAGCTAAACTCTCACAAAGCAAATAACTGATTATTGCTTCTTGCCCAAAGATGTTGCTAACCCTGAGAGGTATTTATATTCTCTGAGAAATAGGAACTTGGAGCTAGAAAAAGCTTATTACATCTCTACTTATTACAAAAGTAGAAATACAAATGAGTAGTAAGTAGGGGAAACACTCAACCTCCCAAGTACTTAAATCAGTGCAAAATTAGAGCAAGCCCTATTTTGGGACCATTTTAGCCAATTTTTTAAATGGTACAGCTCGGCGTCGGCAAGTGTGTGGAGGAGCAGGCATTCCCACAAACCACTGAGGTGAACTGGAGGGCAATTAGCAATATATATCATAAAGCGCATGTTCTCTTTAATCCAACCATTTTAAATACTCTTTAAAAATTATCACGAATGTTGCCAAAAATGCGTATACATGGATGTTCATGGCAACATTATTTATAACTGTTTTAACTTTGAAAAATTGGAAATTACTCTGGGGAAGCAGGAAACTTTCCTCTACCTTTCAATGTTCTTTTGGTTGGTCTAATAATTAACTCTCCATGAGACAGATTAACCAGAGAAAATAACCAAATTTAATTCCATACATGTATGGGAACCCCACATACATGAGAGATTCAGGACAGAAAGGGAAATGAGGTACATATGACATACTGAGCTAAGGGCGAGGGAAGGAAACTTGGGGCTTTAAAGGGGAGTAAGGTCACTGCAGGACAAGAAGAAACAGATATGCAGTAGTTAGTAGTTTGCCCTGACATATAGACAAGCAGAAAAGCTTACTTCAGTAATTTCTTATTACGGGCAAGGCCGCTAATTTAAATTCTTTTGGGTAGTTTCGAGGGGCAGAAGTTTCTCTTGAGCTTGTGAGGTCTCTATTACCTTTAGTTCAAAATTATCCTCATATGACAGTAGCCTATCTCGGGGTGACTTGTTCCGAACCCTACCTAACCAAATGTCCGAAATATGGCAATTATTGAATAAATGATGGTACATTGATTCAGAAGAATACTTTGCAGCAATTAAAAATAATGTGTTTGAAGAATATTAATATGGAAAATATGAGATTTCAAAGTAGTGTTATATAGTAGCACATACTTATAAAAATTGAATGATCGACACTGTAGAATAATTGGAAGGATTATACTAAAATGTTGACCCTGGAATGGTGGAATTATGCCTTTTTCTTAAAATTTTTTTTTGGTTGTGTTTTCTGCATTTTCTCACTAAACATGTAATGTTTGGTGAGAAGGAAAAACCCAATTTATTTAAACAAAACAAAACAAAACAAAACAATGTCAATCATCAGAGGGAGTTGCAGAGTTTGGCAGAGTCAAGAAATATGTGGTTAATTTTTAGCATTTCCATGAAAGAAAAAAATCATATTAGAGATCCTGTCTGATTTTCTATTTTGTTTACACTTCTGTTGTTTTTTTTAATCTAAAAAGGAATGCCTTTATATCGATGTTCCCTGCCCTTCTCATTGTCCCTGCCAGTGAAGATGTGATTGGTGGATGTGACCGCGTGAGCTCACGTCGGAGCTCCCAAAACATACGTAGCGGGCGGTCGGCATAAGTTTGAGGGAGACCTGATTTTTAATCACTGAAGAAGAAAAAATCCAACTTCTCAGTTGTTTCTTTTAAACATAAACTTCAGACCCGGGACATTCTCGTGACGTTTGGGTCACTTGTAATAGGGACTTTACCCCATTGGTCACAAAGAGCTCATTGAGGTTTGGGAAGCCTCCATTTTTCTTCATTATTTTGGAACTTCTCTGACTGCATTAATTTTTTAAAGAGTACTTTATTTAACTTTCTACCCATATTAATGTATTTTTAGTAAAGAACAGGGTAAAAAAAAGGAGGACGAGATGATGGCCGATTCATCCAATGGGATACTGTTTAGGAGTGACAGTCGATGAACTAAAACCACACCTGACCACATAGATGAATTTAAAAAAAACAATATCGAGAGAAAGTAAGTTATAAGAGAACATGTATACAGTGTGATTCTAATTCTATAAATTCCCAAATGGGGCAAAGCTAACAGATATCTCGTTGAGGGATATACACATATGTTATAAAACCATAAAGAAAAGCAAGGATGATTAACAGAAAAATCCAAAATAGCATGTACTCAGGGACAGGAACAGGACGATGGAGGGGCCACCAGGCACTGCTAAGTCCTGGTCTTGTTATTTTTCTTCAGGTCACTGATGAGTACCTGAATTTTCTAATTATGCTTTAACTACACCTATCCATGATCCAGACTTTTTAATTTAGTATATGTTTCACGGTAAAAAAAAAAGAAAAAAAAGAGAAAGAAAAACAAAGGAAACAAATTGTTCAGCTTACAAAGGGCAGCCACACTGTGCGGCATCTTCGAAGGTTAATGTGTTTAGTCTGCGCAGGCACGGTTCTCAGTCTTTTTATATGTACCAACTAACTGAGCCTCGTATCAATCCTAGGAAATAGATCCCCATTTTACAGATGAGGAAACTGAGGCTATGGAGAGTAAGGAAGTCGCTCAGAGTCATGCAGCCATAAGTGTCAGGGCCCAGAGCGGAAGGGCTGTGTGGCTCCATGACCGCCCCCCGAGCCTCTCTGCCGTCCACCTGCTCTTGGTGATCAGGACTGACTTTTTTTTTTCCTTCGATATAGCTGTGGTTTCAGCTGACTCCTTGCTTTCTGCCTTTACAAAATACAAGAGCATCGGACCTGGCTTACAGTCATAGTAGATAATTTGTGACCTTCAGAGAAAGTCACCAAATGCTCCCTGCTGGCCTTCCTTAGGCAGCTCTTTGCTTTTTACTCAGATTTACTTTTCTTTCGAACCCAGACGGCACCAGTGGCGCTAATAAACCAAGTCGAGTTCTTAGTTGCTCTCCTGGGCCTGGATCTGTTAACTGCCTTTGTTTGCTGCTCAGAGTTTCAGTTCTGGCTTACTGGGGAGATGGAACCAGAAAGCCTCCCCAGGGCAATGGTGGTAGAATTATGAGGTCATCTCAGATTGGCCAAAGGGTGTGTGCTCAGCTGTCCTCTCGTTATGAGCTTGTACTTTACCCGGCTAAGCAGATGCAACAGTTAAATTACCCAGAGACACCACCGTCATCTGAATTAAGATCCCAGGTCCACTTCCAGCTCTACTTCTGATTTGCTGTGCAAGTTTCGGGTGGGTCTTCACTTGTCTCGCCCTCTGCTTATCAACTTATAACATGAAGGATGAGTAATGACAGTGCTTCCTGGACGCAGTGTAATTCTGGGCGCCAAGCTGGATGAGCCAGGTGCATACCTGCACCTTACTGCACCTAGACAGCTGTGTACACAGTAGGGCAGACCTGACGCCTGGTGTGAGTGCACGGAGATCCGGTCTCCCCCGTCATGTCACCAGCCACAAATGTGTCCCCACAGTGCCGGCAGTCGCGATCCTGATGTGTTTCTCTGGGCCACTCAATTTCCTACTCTCCACAACCACCATTTCACACCTTTTCCAGTCTCTTCAAACCTTCTTCCCCATTCTTCCTCCTCATTCTTGACAAAGAAAGTGCCCTTCCTGCTTTACGACAAAGGCAGAGTCATCAAACCCTCAATACCAAAATTAACATCCCGAGTCGGCACCCAGCCTGCTCTCCGTTCCTTCCCAAATAGCTGAAGCCATTGCCCCAAGGACAGTTCGGGTCCTAATCTGCTCCTCTCCTATCGTTCCCTCCATTGAAAGTAACGTGTCTCTTTGTCAGGACTCTTCCCACGCCCTTCCCCGCTGGGTCTTCTCTCAGGCAGCTCACGCCTTCTGCAGAGATTTCCTGCCCATTAGCTTCGATCTTCACCCTTTTGAACACTTACTCGTTCATGCTGTCTCACCACTCCATGCCTTTCTGAGTCCGTAAAATTTAAAAATTACATGTCATTCTAACAGCTCTCTGCAGGTAACATCTGTAGCATTTTTCAGAGCCAGAGGCTAGGTGTGGTGGGGTTGGTTGTATCCCTGGCCTTAGTCAGTTCAGGTTTGGGTCTCTGCTGAGTCGTTGGTTTGGTTTTTATCTCTCTAATGGAAGAGAAAGCCCCAGGCTTTCTTCTTAGTTTCTTTTCAGCAGGTTTTACAGTGCGAGGAGCCACCTGATAAGGAAGTCGGGCTCCCTGTTTCTATAGAGTCAGCATTGAGATTGGCCGCAGGCAAATGGTGGCGAATATTTATGCAAATTTAGTAGTAATGAGGCCGTTCGTTTTGTCCTTTAGGCACAGGCACTCCATGCTACCTGTGTACATCATCTAAGCTTAAAGTGCCCAAACCTATGAGGGTAGTTCTGTTTTTCATTTCAGGGACTCATAAGAATGTAAACACAATGTATTTCTTTGAAAGCTGCATACTTTACATATTTTGTTCCAGTAACTCCTCGCCATAACCCCATGAGACCAGTATTAATTTTTCTGTTTAGACTTTGACACAGCCAGTGAGTAGCAGAACCAGAATTTGAATCCTGCTCTCTCTGATTCCCAATCACGGGCTCTCAGCCCCCATACTATGCTGTTTTCCACATGGTTATTCCTGCCATGGATATTATCCGCCTTCAGAGAGTTATCTTACAGAATGGCACAGGAGACAGTCCACTTCATCCCAAGTGATCTGTGTAAAGAATAGGATTGTGTCACCTTTACTGCTAGGCAAAGACTGTATCTGGGCAAGGCAAGACCTTCCGAAGATTCCCGATCTTGTTAGGACTGAATATGTGGCAAATGATAAGCCGGTGTGTTATTAATGTAACATGCATCAGGATGCATACTCTGTGAATTTTCATTTATCTGATATCTTGAAATCAGAACTGAAAAAGAATTGATGACCAATGAAGTAATTTGTTGTATCTGTCATTCTTGATTTCAGGGAAGTTTAATTAGCATTAATAGCACCTGTACAGAGATGGGCAATTTTGACAATGCTAATGTCACTGGAGAAATAGAATTTGCCATTCGTTACTGCTTCAAAACCCATTCTTTAGAAATATGCATCGAGGCCTGTAGGAACCTTGCCTATGGAGAGGATAAGAAGAAAAAGTGCAATCCGTAAGTGTCTTTTTCTAAGTTTTGACGTAAAATGACAGACACATTGATTCTAAAGTTTATATGGAAAGTCTAAGAACAACCAAGACAATTGTAAAAAAAAGAATAAAAAGTAAAAATACGTATCAAGAATTATTATAAAGCTGTGGTAATTCCAACAACGTATTATTGATACAAGGCTAGATGAGCAGGTCGATAGAGCAGAATCAAATGCCCAGATACAAACCTTAGCATATAAGGGAACTTACATAATCAAAGGGCTATTAGTAATCAATGCAGAAAAGGTTAACTTCAATAAATGGTGTTAGAAAATTTAACTTTCCACATAGGAAAAATAAAATTAAAATCCTGTCTCATACAATCCGTAAACAGATTAATATTTTTCCAACTGATAGATATGAAATGGTATCTCATCATTATTTTACCATGCGTTTTCCTGATTACTAAAAAATATGAGCAACTTTTTATATATACATTAGCCACTTAGGATTTCCCTTCTGTGAACTTCCTGTCATCTGAAAGATGGCAGAGTAGGAAGCATCAGGAATCCATCTCCCCACATAGACAGTGACTGCACTGGCAGAATCTGTCTGATGTAATTATTTTGGAACTCTGGAGTCTCTCGAAGGCTTGCAACTTCCAGGGGCTCTGATGGTAAATTGGGGTTAATATCAGTCAATTTCAGCTCTTAGCACAGTAGCAGCTACCCGTCCTCTAATCCCAACCCATAGGCAGGCAGCTGTGCATGTGTTCCTAGAGCGACTTGCACATAGCTTGCAGGAGCCAGGGTGGGCAGAAAGGTTCTGTCCTCCATTTCAGGGATCTGTTCTCTGATTGCTGATTGCTGCTTCTGATCACAGAGGTACAGACAAAGAGACACACAGCCATAGTTATGATCACCTCCCCCTCTGGCTGCTGTGATTTCCAGAGTGTTTAAAGGCCTGGCGCTCTTATTAGTCTCCCTTTTTCATTTTTCACCTCTCAGAAGCCAGATACTACAGACTAGGACATTCAAAAGCAACTGCATATACAGGGGAAATTAGAAGGTGACCATGCTCGCCTCAGAAACACCTGAGAAGACCTTCAGTTTACACCTCAGGCTGATCTTTGGCACAGGATCAATAAACAAAGCAATACAAAACCCAGCAAACACTGGGGAAGGGGGAGAACCTGATTTCCAGAGTTAACACATTATTAGACATAAATGTCCAGTGTTCAACAAAAATCACAAGGCGTATAAAGAAACAGGAAAGTATGCCCCATTCAAAGGGAAAAAGTAAATCAACAGACACTGTCTCTGAAAAAGATCTGATGGCTGGTTTACTAGACAAAGACTTTAAAACGTTGTCTTAAAGATGCTGAAAGAACTTAAGGAAGATGTGGAGAAAGTCAGGAAAATGATGTATGAACAAAGCAAAATTATCAATACAGGGATAGTAAACCTAAAAAAGAAACCAAAAAGAAATTCTGGCGCTGAAAACTATAATAACCAAAATGAAAAATTCATTAGAGGGATTTAAAGGCAGATGGAAGCAGGTAGGAGAAAGAATCGATGAACTGGAAGATAGGACAATGAAATGTATTGAGTCTGAGGAATAGAAAGAAAAAAGATTGAAGAAAAGCAAACAGAACCCAAGGGACCTGTGGGGCATCATCGAGCAAACCTACATCTGCACATGAGAGTTTCAGAAGCAGGAGAAAGAACAAGGGGCAGAGAGAATATTTGAAAGAAAAAAAAAAAAAAACCAGCTGAAAACTTTCCAAGTTTGATGAAATACATGAATATAAAGATCAAAGAAGCCCGCTAAACTCCAAGTAAGATGAACTCAGAGACCCACACTGAGACACACTATAAACGAACTTTGAAAGACAAAGACAGAGAATCTTGAAAGCAGCAAAAGAAATTGGCAGAATGGATAAAAAACATAGGCTCCAACTGTATGTCATCTACAAGAGACTCACCATATAGCCAAAGACACAAATAGAAGATATTGCACGCAAATAGTAGCCAAAAGAGAGCAGGGGTGAAATACTAATATTAGACAAAATAGACTTAAAGTCAAAAAAGGGTTATGAAAGATAAAGGACACTATATATTAATAAAAGTTTTAATACAGCAAGAAGATAAAATGATAAATGTTTATGCTTCTAATAACAGACCATCAAGACATCTGACGCAAAAGCTGACAGAATTGCAGGGAGAAATAAGTCTGCAATAATACTTGGAGCTGTGCATACTGCACTCTCAGTAGCAGGTAGAATTACCTGTCAGAGGTAGATGAGGAAACACAGGACTTAACGCAATAAACCAACTAGACACATAGGTGTGCATTTTATTATCATAATGCCTTAAGCTATGCAGGTATATTTTTTATGTCCTATTGTACGTGTGCGAGATCTGATAACGATCAGCAATTTAAGAGTAGATGAACAGAGAGCCTGGAGGACTTTCCCAAGAAGTTTGACTGGCAGGGAAGAAGAGGCCTGAGACTGGAGCTTCGGGAGGGACCCGGATCAAGGGAGGGGAAAGTTAAGCCTGTTCCCAGCCTGTGGGGATGGGGCCTGGACCAGCGGGGCCATTGCCATCAGCGCAGCTGCCAGAGCAGCCAGGACGGGCAGTCCTAGGACCTGAGTGGAGGGATCAACCTAGATCAGGATTTCGGGGGGTGGGCAGAATGCTGGTGGAGAGTTCGCCTTGCCAGCCGAGCCGTGGGCTCCAGGCTTGGCAGAGAGGGCTCATCAACGCAGGTCCCCCCAGCAGTCAGGAGGGCAGGCGTGGAGGCCACGCAAGGGAAGAGCAAAGCGTGAGGCATACACTTCCCATTTCCACTTTTCGTGCTAGGTGGAGGGAGGACGAGCTGGCACACGGCCTGCACATCCAGGTAGATCAGAAAATCTGCCACCGTGGAGCCCCGAAATGGCAGGTGATGAGCAGTGAGGACTGCTCAGGGCTCGGGTGTGAGGGAAGCAGCAGAGCTCCCCGCCCCCCCCCAGGAATGTTCCAGAGGATGGTGGCCAGACTGTAAACAGAACCTGTGTACCCAGCAGTATCATTGTTCACTGCCAGAGCTGGCCACCGAGCCCTTGCTCTCAACCCCCCAGTTCAGCGGAAAGCAGAGTAAAGAAAACGCTGACGTGTCATTCTCTTCTTCCCGGACCTTCATCCCCGCCCCCCTGAGCCTTCACCTCTGTCTGCCTTTGGCCTCTAGGTATGTAAAGACCTATCTGCTGCCTGACAGATCCTCCCAGGGAAAACGCAAGTCTGGAGTCCAGAGGAGCACGGTGGACCCAACCTTTCAGGAGACTTTGAAGGTATTTGCTGGACAAATACTCATGTGCTGAGTCCCCCGCCGTCCTGGGCTGGGCACACGGGCCAGAGTTCACAGGACGAGTCTTCCAAACTCTTGAGTCAGTGAAACGTAAATGCAGACACTTATGTGTTTCTGCAGGGCTCTGTCAATCAGTGGCAAGGTGGCAGAAAATAAATTTCAGCCTTTGTACAGGAAAAGTGCAGAGTCTGCCAGACTCAAGACTGGCTTTTGATTAATGATTTCCGAGAAAATGGTGAAAAAGAAGCTGGCTTGCCTCTCAATTTTTAACACTGATTTCTCTGTTGCATTTTGGTAACTATCAGAGAGGTATCTTGTAAATTAAACGACTGCGTCACTATCTTTGTGAAAATGCTCCTTTATTATAATAGGTGGCAAACCCAGGTTTCTTCTTATGTTAAGGAAAAAAAGAGTCATTTTATGAAAAATAATTTGTAGACGAATTGTTTGAGTTTCACTTTCTTTGGTGCTAAGAAATACGATTTGTGGTTTAGGGCAAAGATGAGGGACCGCCTCGTGCTGGGATTTAGGGTGGAGAGCTGGAGGTGATATGTATGGTGTATGCAGATAGCAGATATGTATGGTGTATGTCCTCCAAGCTCGGGGCCTTGGAGGACAGCCCAGACTCGTGGAGACGTCCCCAGTCGAGGCCGGGAAGCCCAGGGATCTCATGTGTCAAGACTGAAAAGCAGAGGCTTTGTTTGACTTCCTTGGTGAGAAGGGGCATTTGTAAACTCCCAGCCAGGGACTATCTGGGCAGCTGGCACAAAAGTCCCCTTCGTTAAATAATAACAGCCATTGTTTTCTGTGCCCTTGCTATGGTCAAGTGCTTCACATACTCCTGAACTAGGTATTAGAATCCTCGCTTACTAGTGGGGAAACTGAGGCTTAGAGAACCCACAGTGGGCTAGCAGGCCTCCAAATTTATGTGCATCGGAATCCCCAAGGGATTTTAAAAAAGGAATAGATTGTGATTCAGCAGGTGTGGGTGGGGCCTGGGATGCTGCTGGCCTGGGGCCACTCTAGCAGCAAGTGACCAGAGATCAATCTTCGGATGGTTTTGCTCACGTACCTGCTAAAAGAATTTTGAAAAGCCATGTGCCCCCTCGCACATTTTAAGCTGACATCTAAAATCGCTCATAAGTTTTATTAAGGTATTTTGCTCCAAATAGAGGTAGATAAATATTCCACATTTTATGAAATGGGGTAAAATTGAGGATCGACTACATTTTTGATAAATATGTAATTACTTAATTTGACTTTTAAAGTTTACCTTATTTAAAATGCACGCAGAATCTCAAAGAAGTCAGCTAAAATTTGTATCCATTGGTTTTATCCAATATGTTGTGAATATTTTGGTTGCCCTGGAAAACTTGGCAGAAACACTTAAAAGTATCAGTGCCCCTAATGGATTCTAAATTCAGCACAGCCCGACACAGGCTTCATAGAAATGCGTGTAAGACAGAGAAATGGGAAGATGGGGCAGTGATGGAGAGTCCTCCCTGCAGAAGCCAGTATTTTGAATCACCCCTTTGTTTAGCACACTGGAGGTTCATAGAACGTGGGGCAAGACACTGGAGTGAGATTCTGGGTATAAGAACCATCTTCTGCCAGTTTCGAGAACAGTGCCCATGTGACAGTTGAGGATCTAGAAGCTGATCCTCAGGTTTTCCGAGCAGAGTGCTCCTTGGGACATCTGCCTGCACTCCCGCTCAGCTCGCGGGAGGGAGGCCCGGGCGGCCTGGGAGTGTGGCCCTGGGAGCCCAGGCTGACCGTCTCTGTCCTGCTTCTGCAGTACCAGGTGGAGCCTGCCCAGCTGGTGACCCGGCGGCTGCAGGTGTCCGTGTGGCACCTGGGCACACTCGCCCGGAGGGTGTTTCTTGGAGAAGTGATCATTCCTCTGGCCACGTGGGACTTCAAAGACAGCACAACACAGTCCTCCCGCTGGTATCCGCTTCGGGCCAAGGTGATGTCTGGTTTGGACCGAGCAACCCCACCCCCACCATGAGAACTTTTCAAAGGGATCCAGGAAAAAGAAACCTGCCTTTGAAACCTTGGACCCGAGACAGTCATGCACACTTGCCGGGCTGTGACTTTCTAGGGAGAAAAGGCCCAGGAAAGGGCCCAGTGTCGGGCTCTCCCGGGGGGTTTGGCTGAGGGATTTCTACCTGCTCAGGTTTGTTCAGGTCCCTGAATGGCCTTACCCTCAGTGGAGCCCACGTGCCAGCCTGCACCGGGCTGGGTGTTCAGCCCTCCCGTGATGGCCCGAACCTTCCCCCAAATTCAGGGTCACTCAGTGTCAGCTGAGGTGGCCCCCGCCTCCTCATGACTCTGTAGGCCAAAGTCCCCACCTGTGGCCAGTCAGGCTGCCTCCAGGTGGGACCACACCTCGGTCCTGCAGGCTGGAGTGTGTTGTTTCTGAGCGCCCCACCCCAAGCACTCCCACGACAGTGGGTGAGATGACTGGACCGAATGCTATAGGGCCATAGAGCTGGCAGAGGTGGCCCTGACCAGCGGGACTTCCGTCCTGCTCTGGCAGAGAGAGCAGCAGATGCTCAGGGCGGAGTGGGACAGGTCAGGAGCAGCTGGCTGGGCAGTGGGAAGAGAGGCCAGGGGAGAGGTTAGCATTTCTCAGGGCGGCTGCTTTGCACACTCCTGTGCCACGATCCAAGGCTGTGAGGGAGCACATGTGAGGGAGGGACGGCGGAGGAAGCCTGGGCTCTGTCGCCTCCTAGGAAATGGCAACAGAAGGCGGCAACTCTACCAGCAAACGTCTCACAGAGGCCGAGTCTTCACCTGGCCTGGACCAGGTCCCACCGTGTCACCTCTCTTTACCTCTGAGGCCCGGGAGGCGATCAGTCACGACGCCTTGATCAGAAACGGCTCTGGATTCTGGCCCCTGCGGGGCCCAGCCCGGGGGCCCCTCCCACCCCTGCTGCCCTCTTCCCTCCGTGGGTCTGCACAGCCCCGCCACCCACACCCGGCGCCCTGCCCTTTCTCATCTCAGAGCCTCGGTTTGTCCTCAGACTGCAACTTGGAAATCCACTTGGAAAGCCTTCTCCCGAGACTTTGCTTGAGTCTCACCTCCTCCGTGAAGGCCTTCCTGATTTTCCTGGCTGGATGAGGTCTCCCATGGGATCCTGTACTAGGGATGCCCTGCCCGTCTTGTTCCTCTTGGGATCGTGCACTCAGGGCAAGAGGGGCTGCCACCCAGGCCGGCCATGCATTGGCGGATGAGCCAGGAACAGCAAGCACCAGACTAAAGCATCCGTCCCGATGCTGCTAACAGAGTGACTCTGGCGCTGGGTCTCGGGTGTCTGCTCACAGGCCATCCATCCCCTTTGGCCCTGACAGGAGGGGGCCGTGTGGGTGGCATGGGATCGGTATGGGTTTCTGGAAGCAGAGGGCGAAGGCAGCCTTATCTAATTTGGCATCCAAGGGCCAGCCTCCCACCCCAGAGGCGGCCAGGAGACCAAGGAATGCCACGGCCATGCAGGGGAGGCTGGCCCTGCAGGATCCTGGAGCCTCGCCGAGCCCTCGCTCGGCGGCTGCTCTCACTGCCGGGGGTTCGGAGTGGGGGGCCCTCCCGGCGCCCTTCCCACCCACGGGGAGAGAGGTCCAGTGATTGCAGTCTTCGCTCTCCAATTCCTTCCTGTATCACTTTCTGGCAAAGTTACTCATGCCCAGATAAGCCACCTGAGTAGGCAGGGAGGTGTCCTTGGTGGGGAGCTGGGGATGAGGAGGGGGCCGACTCAGCCAGACCAGAGAGCCACCCGAGCTGTGGGCACCGAGCCTGGGACCTGGTCGGTCTCTGAGTGCCTGCAGCGTCCCTGGCATGAAAGAGTAGCTAAGATCTTTATTTACTTTTTTCCAGGTCAGGTCGCGTCCACGTTTCTTAGGTCTCTCCTATGGAATGTGCCAGCGCCTTCGAGCCCCTCTGCTTGCCAGGCCATCTGCCTCTGGTGGGGTGGGCGGCTGGATGGCTGAGCCATTCCGCCCATCTTGAGGCAGCCTGCCGTGGGGACGCCTGCGCCAGGGCTCTCCCGGGCCTGCACAGGTTTTGCAGGGGTGGGGTGGGCAGGAGGAGTGAGGAAGGCAGCATTTATGGACAAAGCTGAGGCACCCAGAAGAGCCCAGGGGTTCTGCAGGCTGGGGACACCTGCCCTGAGCTCTGCCACTTGCCCACAGGCAGAGAAATACGAAGAGGGCCTCCTTCCAAATAATGGAGAACTCGCAGTCCGGGCCAAACTGGTGCTGCCTGCAGGGCCCAGCAAGCTCCAGGAGTCTCAAGAAGGTAGGTGGCCTCCAGCCCCAGGCCTGTTCATCAGTCGCTGTGTCACTAATCCCAAAGCCTGGAGCGGCAGGCAGGGTTAGAGGTAGGCCGGTGTTTCCTAGCATTTCCTGTTTGCCACCCCCTGGTCTCAGGTGCTCCTGTGACTCTCACCAGGAACTGTGGCACCCAGCCTGGGAAACGGGGTCGCTGGAACCCACGGCTCTGAAGGGAGTCGAGCGACCCAAAAGGCCAGACCTGATGCCTGCTTTTCGAGGCTCTTAGGACACCAGCCCCAATGCTTTCTCCCAAGGGGGTGGCTCGGATGGTTCCCCTGGGGAAAACAGTCCTGCTGTGGCCTCACTTGAAGAATGACCTCCTGCATCACGGCTGGGAGTTTGGCTCTGAGGGACCCAAGAGCACTTCTCAAGGCCCCTGGTCACGTCAGCAGCTGCTGCCCAGCAAGAGAACGGGTCAAGGACAGTGGGGAGATGAGGTGGGGAGCGAAGACCAAGAACACACAGTTCCGTGATGGGTTTTGGTGATTTGCTATGTGGAAGCTCACAGGACCAGCAGCAAGCACCCTGTGGTTACCTCCAGGCCCCCAAAACAGAGGTCTTGGGGCCCCGCCTTCCTCAAAACCATGGGCTCCCACTAAGCTAAAACTCTGCATCCTTCCCCTTCTCGGGTTAGCCTTAAATCTCTTTGCGGCTTGTTTCCCTGGGATTTTAGCAAGCCTTCCATCCCGTCGTCATGCCGATGGGTCGGTAGGCCGCCGGGACAAGTGTCCCCAGAGAGCCTTCTTTGTGGTGGGCGAGCCCCTTTCCCTAGCTGCTCGCTCAGGCTGCGAGGGCTGGAGCACGCCCTCTCGCCGAGCTCAGTTTTGGGGTGGCGGTGCTGCGTGCCGACACGCAGAAGGGGGTTGACCGTGAATGCTGGCTTCGTTCCCAGGGGCAGGGCAGCCATCGTGTGACGGTCAACTCTGTTTGGTGGTGCTGGGAGCCAAGGACTTACCTGTGCGGTCGGATGGCACCCTGAACTCGTTCGTGAGGGGGTAGGTATTACAGTTAATCAAGTGGGATTTACTGATCACCTGCTATTCGCACGGCAGGGTCCTAGGACCTGTAGGGAACACCGAAAACAGCCATTTTAAGTTTGTTGCATTTTAGCTTTCCTACAAAAATCCAACGTAAGTCGTGTTAAAGACTCTTATCTCCAAGAATTCATGGGGTTTGGACATGCCGAGGCTAGATTCAGAATACTGCATTTTAACCCGAAACCCAGATCTCATTGGTCCTTGTTTTATCAGTGAATCAGCTTTTTCTGACTAAAATGGAACATTAAAAAAAATCATGTGTTTATAAATATTTACTCAGCTTTACATTCCCCTTGGATTAACAGTGAGATGGATGATTTTTCAGATTTCATCCTCATTCTAATTCACTACAGGTGCATTGGTGTTTCGCAAAGGAAAGCAAACACCATCATTATGTAGAATTGCTAAATCCCCGGTGTCATAATGGAAAATTAATGGGCTACCAGTCAGGACGAAACTGGGTTTGTGTCCTAACCCTGCCGGTTATCTGTATGGCCTTGGGCAAGTTACTTGGCCCTTCTGAATGTATTCTGAGAACAGGGTTAACATGAGATAACACGAGTACAGAGTCCTGGTCCCTGGGTGGCAGGTCTAAGAAGCCACGCTGTCGCCTGGTGGTAGACCAAAGGGGGGGACCGGGACAAAGGCCACGTGGCCTCGGAACCCCAAATCACCCTCGATGGCCGCTGCAGAATTCAGCTCTCACTTCTGAACATCCTAGAGCGAGGTCACGTAGCCAACCCGGTGCTTCTCGTTCTCCTTTACTGTTTAGAATTTTTATGGGGACGTGAATTTAGCCCTTTACTTAGCACCGAGTCTCACTGGCGAGCAAGCGCCAGCGGGGAAAGCGGGCCGCGTGGGGGCAGGCGCGGGGGGTTTTGATTGGCTTCTCTTCCGCAGCTGTCTCACTCTGCCCGACAAGCAAAAGCTGAGGCTGAAGTCCCCGGTCCTGAAGAAGCAAGCGTGTCCCCAGTGGAAGCATTCCTTCGTTTTCAACGGAGTAAGCCCTTCTCAGCTTAGGCAATCCAGCCTGGAATTGACCGTCTGGGACCGGGCTGCCTTCGGCGTGAATGACCGCTTGCTGGGAGGGGCCCGGCTCGGTTCCAGTAAGTCCGTTTGAGATATTTATCGGGCCCAAGTGCATGTTGGATCCTTAGTGACTGTCTCACATGGATACCATTAGAAGAAAAATCAGGCTTCTGCGATGGCAGGTGACTTAACTGGCTTTGGAATTGCCTAACCTGCCATAAATGGAGATTACTAAGTCTCCTTCTTACTATGCAACTGAGCGATAATACAGCCAAGTATTTCAACAATTTAAATCAGATTTAGGATCTGCTAAAGAAACAAAAATCACAGGCCTCAAAATGGGCTGAGTATACAGTATTTGCTTTTGTTTTTGATGTCAATCATGAGAGGATTATTTTCTTAAGGGAAAATATCTTCTTAACCCAAACTACTGGCAATTGAGAAAGTATTTCATTAAGATTAGGACAGAAGGGCAATGTGCTCGTGCTGCTCGGCAGGGGTGTTTCTGGCATTTTGTGGGGGACAGTCTCTTGTCGGGGAAGGCTTGAGTGCCCCAGCCCTGCCCACCGGTTGCCAGCAGTGCCCCCTAAACACTGTGACAACCAAAACAACTGCACAACCAAAACATCTCCAAGGCCTGCAGCCAAGGACCACTTAAGATAAACAGGACTCGCTCGTAGTTTAAAAAGTATTGTCCAAAGCAAACCTTCTTCTAAGTAACTCCTTTCTATGAACGAACCTGGCCATCCGTACCTCGCCACAGACATCCTGAAGTGTTAAGACTGTTGTCAACCCTCCCAAAAGAACCAAGTCACCAAACCTGTCCTGTCCTCTTTCATCTAACAGAAAACGGCTTCAGGCTTTTGAGGCCCCAAGTCCCTGGGGAGAGTGCCTGAGTGTGTCCTGTCCCCAACAGTTTTGTTGCAAGGGTGGGGG